GTGTGTGTGTGTGTGTGTGTGTGTGTGTGTGTGTGTGTGTGTGTGTGCATGTTGGATGCTGCAGTTTGTGACTGGATAGAGGTGGGTTGTATGCGGGAGAATCGATGATTGTCTGAGCGTGTCTGCAGCGGATGAGAGCTTGTCTGGATTTCTGCACGAGGGTGACCTCAGCGAGAGGACTTGAGGGAAAGATGCGGAGTGTGTCGGAGTGTGTGGATTGATATTCCTACTTTGGCTGACAGCGCGTTTCAGTTTGTTGCTTCAATAAAACTCTGACAGCTGCCAGCCGTTTGAACATTGTGTCAGGGTTACACATCTGTTTCTTCCACCTCCAAAAGTGTGTGTGTGTGTGTGTGTGTGCACTAAGGGAGGAATGTGGAATACACTGGGAGTCAAAGAAAATAATTTTTGCATGATTGGATACAGAACTTGGCCACTGGTGCGGCTCTTAATGCAAAACATCTGTCGGAGGTTTTACTTTTCCCATTTAGTTATTTTCCTTCACGGAGTTCCGTTTACTGTCATTCCTTTCGAACAACAAAGTCCATGTTCATTCCTTTTGGTTACTGCAGTCAAAACAACCAGACGGCACCCCCTCTGAGCTGGCACTTGTCATTTTTTAAAACCCAAACACTTCAGGAGCAGGATTTGATTTTCTTTTGGAGACACTTTTTAGAAGGGACTCTGAAGTTGTGATGCTTTCTTTTGGTCCACCACTTTTTTTTTCCTTCATTTATTTAAAATGTGTGAAAATCTGGAAGTACGTTCTTTCATAAAAGTTGTCTCTATAATCACTGTCACCTGAAGTTGGCACCAAGCTGTGGGTCTCTACTAAACTGCTGTGTTTTGCAAAAAGCTACTATCGTATTTTCTGCCGTACACGTTGCACCAACCTAAAAGTCGCATCAGTCCAAATATGTTGAATAAAGTTGAAAATACATAAATACGTCACTTTGCCATATACGTCGCATCTATTATGTGTCACTGCTGACGCGTCATGTTTGTTACGCTTCACCGCTGACAACCCAGAAATGTGTGCCGTGTTGTGACAAAAATCGATTGGCTGCCAAATGGCAGCTGCGGGAGCATGCATGGGAGGACTTTAACAATAATTTAATAAGATTAACACTCAAAAACAATTATTTGTTTGCTTGACATTATAGTAAAGGTGTGTCTCAGTTGAAATTTTCCTTAAGGAGCCAAAAAAGTTAAATCTGGTCCTCTGGACCACCTCTGGACATTTTTTTTGAATGTCCAGAGGACCAGATTTAACTTTTATTTAATTTTTCTACCTGGATTATTGAGCATGCATCAGGATATTTTCCTTAAGGACTTTAACCTCAGGACATCAGGACCTCAGGGATGTGTGTTGAGCCCCCTCCTGTTTACTCTGCTCACGTATGATTGTGCAGCTACCCATCCAGGCTGTCACATTGTAAAGTTTGAAGATGATACAGCGGTGGTGGGATGCATCACAAACAATGATGAGTCCAGCTACAGGCAAGAGGTGGAACACCTGGAGAGCTGGTGCATAGAGAATAACCTTCACATCAATGTGAAGAAGACAAAGGAGATGATTGTGGACTTCAGAAGAAACAAAAACACCTACACCCCCCTGAACATAAGAGGATCTGCAGTGGAAGTGGTCTCCAGCTACAAGTACTTGGGTGTACACATGAATGACAACCTCAGCTGGAGCAACAACACCACCAGCCTGATCAAGAAAGCTCGTCAGAGACTCTACTTCCTCAGACGGCTGAGACGAGCTGGTCTGGGAAGCTCAGTCCTCACCTCCTTCTACAGGTGTGCAGTGGAGAGCATCCTGTGCTCCAGCATCAACATGTGGCATGGAGGCTGCACAGCTGCAGAAAGAAAAGCTTTGCAGAGAGTGGTGAAGGCTGCACAGAAGTCTGTCGGAGTCATCCTCCCCACCACCACAGACATCTACACCTCTAGATGCAGGAAGAGAGCTACCTGCATCATGAAGGACCTCACTCACCCAGAACACACACTTGTTGCTCCACTCCCCTCAGGAAGGAGGTTGAGGAGCATTAAGTGTAGAACCACTAGACTGAGGAACAGCTTCTACCCTGAGGCTGTTAGACTCATGAATCTCTAACTAGAATAATCACTGTGAAAAACCACATCATGTTGCTGCTGATCTGTTTCATGTTGCTGCTGATCTGTTTCAATGTTGATGTGTTCATGCGTGCACATCTGCTCACAGACTCATGTTCATGTTTGTGCTGATGTTCAATGTTTTTATGTTATGAGTGCTTAGTGTATATTTAGTTTATGTTTTTCTTAGTTCATATCTTAGATGTTATTACTGTTTTTCTCATACATTTTATTGTTGGATGTAACTGGGACCCTGTGTACATAATTTCTCTCCAACACATGTACCACATGAGGTACGAATGACAATAAAGAAACTCTGAATCTGACTTAAGAGTCAAATCAGCTGCATTTCACCTGGGCGGCACAGAGAAATCCAGCTGATTTGACAGTTGCTCCAGGAGTTCCTGAGCGAGATGAAGGTGGCTTGTATGGCAAGCCAAGTGTCTCATTAATAGCCACTTTTACCTATTAATGAGACACTTGGCTTGCCATATTAGTCGAGCACCCTCTAGTGGCTGAAAATGATAGTGTTCAATATTTTCCATGTCAGAATGAATGAAATTGTCCGATCTCAGCCAAAATTTAAATTATAAATATGGGGAAAACATGAATAAGTGGGCCTTTCTGGGGTTTGCATGTTCTCTCCGTGCTGCATGGGTTTTGTCTGGGTACTCCAGTTTTCTCCCACAGAGCAAAAACATGCATGTTAGATTGATTGGTAACTCTAAATTGTCTCTAGTTGTGAGTGAGAGAGTGAATGGTTGTTTGTCTCTATGTGTCTCTGTGATGGACTGGAGACTTGTCCAGGGTGTCCCCGGCCTCTTGCACAGTGATGACCCGAAAAGGAAGAAGGTGGTAAAGATGATGGATGGATGGATAAAAGTAAGTAACATAAATGAATGCTGCAGTTGCAATGTTTTTTAAAAATGGTGGGTTTGATTCTTGTGCAGGAGACACTCTCATTGCTCCCTGGCCAACCAATGGCCTGTGTTTGCTGATGTCAGATCTTTAGTTCCACTTGACTCGCTTGGAACTTTTGCTATGTAGGTCCCAAGAACTGAGCTAGAAGTTGGTGGATCACCCAGTAAAAAAAAAAACTCTGACTCTGTGTCGACTCAACCTGAGCACAAACATGTCAAACCCAGCCGAAAAAGGTCAACTGTCTGCTGTGTTGCAAAGAAAGCGTCCAAATTTGTATATTTTGAAGGGTTACCTTTCAAGCTCTTTGATAACCTTGCATGACTCTTAGACCATAGTTTAGGAAGCTTCTGTTCTAAGGTGGCATTCAGACCCCCTCCCTGATTTCAACAACCCAGTTTATTTATAGACTGCTGACAGCCTCACTGGAAGTGGTGGAAGTGTAGTGCTCTGAGTGAGAGGTTGCACTTATGGTTAGATTGTGTGTGTGTGTGTGGGTATGGGGGGTGGGGGGTCATGGTGGGGGTTCTTGCTTTTCAGTTATGTTTGTGCCCCTTAGCCACAAGACCGGCACAGGGGTCACCTTAAGGTTAGCTTCTTCAAAGAACAATCTCCATTGGCTACTCACCGCCATAACAAGGGAATGAAACCTGAAGCCCTCTCCCCACCCTCTGACACACCAGACCAACCAGTCCTACCCTCCACCCCCATCTTCATTGGTGTGTTTCTCCCACAGCCATTGTCAGCTGCAAACCAGCCGTCTGCTGACTTTGGTCTGCTGGCTTTAGGTCACCCCCACCTCTCATGCACCAACACACGCATACACAAAGTCACAAACACACGAGAAAGAAGACCGGCGTGCACAAACATGCCCCTTCCCCCAGACAGACAGAGAAACTAGCATAACCCCTGTCTCTGCTGATGCCTTCAGGGTCTCCTCATACAATCCTTGTAATAAAACACATTTTGGTAGAACAATGTCAATATGAAAAACACAATTTAGCTTTACCATTGTTAAACTTTATGAATAATCTGCGAGTGGCATTTATCTAACACCAGTCCAGGCTTCTGTTAATAACATGCATAAGAAAAAACAGCATTTTCCAGTACTGGTCAAAACACTAAACTGCAGATTCTAAACACGTCGCATGCCTTAAAAAAATACTCTCATGCAAAAAAGTAAAGGAAAAGAAAAAGAAAAGAAAACACAATTGAGGCTTCAAATTGTTTAATGCTTACTGTAGTGTGTGTACTATGTGAGGTGTGTGAAACACACAACAAAAGATAAAAGAGGCATGCGAACAAAACCTACACAAACAAGATCGTTTAAAACAGCAAAATGCTGCAAATGCAGACTCTTAGAAGACCTGAAGTGGTTTTAAGTTCAGGTTTTGTATCATACAACAACATGTATGACATTTATTACTCAGAAAGTTTAAACATGTCGTGATTAGCAAACCATAACGCTAACGGACAATTTTTTGCTTTCTGTTTTACAAAGAACCGACCAACAGTATAGTATATTGCCGTTTTCTTTTTGGCCTGACTCAAATATCAAAGTTTAGATTTCTCCGTGCTTTCATGAAAGCAACACCGGCCCAGACACCCTCTCTCTCTCATGGAGAGTTCTGATTGGTCGAAGAGACGCTCTGTCTGTTGTGGGCGGGGCCTGAGTCGCAGAGGCTGCTGTGCTTGATCAGCAGACAGAATGCAGCTTCCCTCAGCGGCGGAGGAAGTCCCGGAGAAGCGGCGCTATGAGTCCTCGAGCCGCCCTTTAACTCCCTCCCCGAGCCGAGGGAACATGGCGTGAGACGAGACGTGCGACGGCAACAAGCGCGAAACTGTTGGGAGTTACTCGTAGCGAGCGGCGGACTGCGCTGCCGCTGCCTGCTGGAAGTTTACTGTTGTTTCTCCGTCGGGGTGTCCCGACGGCGGCGGCGGTGGCGGCGGCGGCTCTCTCCCCGGAGCGGTGTCCCGGTCCGCCCAGCCCCATGCAAAACGTAACGGCCCCTGGCGGCCCCGGCAACTCCAATGTCACCTGCTCCTGCAACTGCACGGCGTCCCATGCACAGGGAATGGAGATATGTGAGTACCATTTCCTCCTGAGCACAAACCTGCGGAGGGGAGACTGCTCATCTGAAGCCCCCTGCAGCCAGCAGAACAATAAATCCGATTTAATAATAGTAATTAACACTGAAACCATCTTTCCTTACACTAGATCTGTAAGTTCAGACTAACAGGAACTTTGTCAGTTTCACTGACCTCAAGTTTTTAACCGTTTTTGTTTGTTCACATGTTTACACGTATAATGAGCACATTTTGAAGTCCCTACAGCTGTTAAAATGTTTAGACTTGCTGTGAGATTTTAGTGTGTTATTGTGCATATTTTCAGGTTTAATAATTCTTTTAGAGCTTTAGTGTGTTGACACCTCCACTATGACTCATTTAGCTCTTGAGGACTCTTCCCTGCTCTGTCTGGCCCTTCAGGCTGCACATATGCTGAGAGAGATTACCACAGAGGGTTAAATAGTTTGCCTGTCAGCCCAGACAGGAAACGCTGGAATGGTATGTTATGTCTGTCTGCCCTCTGAGCAGCCCGGAGAGAAACTATCATTATCAGCTCTGCCCTGCTGCTGCTTGATCCACTGCAGATGTTCCTCTTTATGACCGAGGCCCAGATCTGTGGCAATGCAGAGGACAGACCAGTATCATGCGCTGCTTTAGACTAACATCATCTTATTATAAGAATTGATAAACTTGTAGCCATTTTGGTCCCACCATGGAAATAGTGTATGCAATCACATGCACTACCTTTCTTGGTGTGCATGCTGTGAATGTCTGTCTGCTACAAGCACGCCAAACTTTAGCTCATAATCCGCAAAATTTTCTTTGTTGTAGCCATTTTTGTCTGTTTTTTTTTTTTAAAGTTCAGTCAGCCTGCTCAGCCACCTTGAATTTTGTCTGACAGTTGTAGATTTCCTGAGATTTTTATTTTTTAAGTCCTGATATTTTGTGAACAGTACAAACAAACACGGGCAGAAATATTATCGCCCTTTCGCCAGAGACGCCTCCACGTAGCCAGAAAAGAGAATATATGGAAAGATGGACACTGACAAGTTGGAGACCGACAGAGTTACTGTGATGTGTAGTTTCCATCAGGGCTGTGGCTGGGCCTGGGCAACATGAGATGAACGCAGGATATTAGATTTAGATCTGGCAGTACTGTGTGGTTGTGCTGACGCCACATTGTAACCAAGAAGTAAGTGTGTGTGTGAAAGAGCTTGTCTGGCAGCAGGGCTGGTGTTCCACTATTCTGTGGCTGCGCAGCACTGCTCGCCAGGAAAAATCCTCCGTCAGACAAGAAGCGGTGCTGCACATATCTACTGACACAGCACAGCCTAATGAGTTCACCCACAGGGACTGACAAACACTCGTGGACTAGCCTGCTGTGAAAGGTGATAGTGTTTTTACTCCTGTGTGTCTGTTTGTAGCTTTATCAAAATATCTCAAACTATCCATCCATTATCTTTCACCCGCTTCTTCCATTTTGGGTCACGGGGGTCGCTGGTGCCCATGTCCAGCAATCACTGTGCGAGGGGCGGGGTACTATCTCATAAACCGTTAAAGTAAAATAAATGTGTTGTTAGTTCTCTGCATTTAACCCATCACACCTGAGATACACCCAGGTGGAGCAGTGGGCAGCTATGCAAGCGCCCGGGGAGCAATTAGGTGTCTTGCTCAAGGAGACCATGACATGTGGGCGTGGCAGGGAGTTGAACCTGTGAATTTCTGGTCCAGAGTTGGCTGCCCTACCTCTACGCCATCTTGGCTCCCCATTGGCCACCACTGGACAAAAAAAAAAAAAAAAAAAAAACTTCCACAGTCATTGTCTGCACATCTACAACCCATTAGCATTTGGAGCCAACTCCATTCAAGATGTCTGCCACACGTAGGCCTGTTGCGATAAACAATAAATCAATTAATCGCACGATAAATTAAAATTATCTCTCATTTTCATTTATCAGCTTTATTGTTTCTTGGTCTCTCTTTTTACTAAAGACACTGGATGACAAAAGGCTCAACTCCAGTGCTAACCATCTAAAATCACGTTTTTGGATTGTTAAAACCAGAAGCTAAGCTACAAGCTAAGCTAACAGGCCGACCTCAGGAAAAAAACCTCCGTCTTGTCGAAGCTCCAAAATTCACGGTTGAAACCCGTGCCTTTGTGTAAAAAGTTGTTTTTCTCTGTAAAAAAAAAAAAAAGCTGAGAACTTGTTTACTGATTTATTTATTTTTTTTATTAAAAGCTTTGTGTGAAAAATGCTCTGCTAAAGAGCTCAAACCACACCGAGCGTCCGCCATTTTGAGAACCGAAAAAAGGAAGGAGAGACAGCCCATGTCACGTCAAGGGGCCTCCCTCCCATTTTTCTCAAATTGACACGCTGCTAGCTCTCTCACTATCCATCTTTCAGTTCAAACAGTCTTATACCGCCATCTGGTTGTCAAACAAAGCTACTACACTCAAAACAAATCAACAGTTCTTCTTAAATTTGAGAATAATTACTAATTATTCTCAAATTTCAAACAATATTATCGTTTATCGCAATAACTTCTGAGACAATCGTCGAGCAAAATTTGTTATCGTGACAGACTTAACCTCATTCAGTAACGTCACATTCTTGAGAGACTTGTTCGCTCTCAGACTGTGTGTGGAAGATGACTCTCAGCTACCACCACACCAGGTTTTAGCTCATTTTTTGGTCAAACCGGTGTGTTATAGGCATCGCTAATCAACTGTACCTAACCAAACGATGCCTATAACACACCGGTTTGACCAAAAAATGAGCTAAAACCTGGTGTGGTGGTAGCTGAGAGTCATCTTCCACACACAGTCTGAGAGCGAACATGTCTCTCAGAATGTGACGTTACTGAATGAGGTCGTGCATGACAACATTTACAAGTCTAACAAGGTCGAGTCAGGTCCTCTGGACGGATTCTCCTCGTTGAAACGTTTCGTCTTTTATCCAACAGACTTCTTCAGACTAATGGATAAAAGATGAAACGTTTCAACGAGAAGAATCCATCCAGAGGACCTGACTCGACCTTGTTAGACTTATCTAGCTGGATTATTGAGCATGCATCAGATTATTCACAACTCTTCATGATAACCTTAGTCTAAAACTGAGGCGTGGAAGGTGGCGAGGAATATGCATTCCTTTAAGCAATGCTTGTATTTGCACTAAACTCGTCACCAGTTGGAGGGAGCTTCATTCACAGTGATCTGATGTCGCTGTATTCTGCTGTAGCGGCCGCCTGGTTTGAAAAGGGCTCTTGTTTGTTGGCTGTGTTGTCATGCAGACTCTGCAGGACTGAATAATGCAGCTCATGCTCTGATGATTTATCTGGCTGAAGAAAAGAGCTTGTCGGCCTCTTTTCACTTTTTTCCCCGCTCTTCCTTTAAACCAGAGCAAAACGTTTGTGTTCCTTTTTTATTTAGAAAGGGAGGAAACTAAAGAGGATTCAAAGCGCAGAAGGCTTACGATGCAAACGGTGTGTCATGGTTCAGATCATCTGAACCTCGTCCCACTCACTGGGGTCTTCATGTAGGACTTGAAAGGCAGGAACTCGTTAACGAATTGTTTTATTTTTTATTATTTTGTATCGTAGGTGTGCTATAATCCAGTTCTGAGGTCAATCAATTGTACGTACAAGTGCATATAAAAAAAATTTAAATATTGTGAAAAAAGTTCAATTTTGTTTGCCAATCATATAAAAAAGTGAAACTCCACATTACATATATTCATTACACACAGTGAAATATTTCAAGCCTTCATTTCTTGTATTTTTGATGATTCTAACTTAACAAATAATGACAAACCAACATTCAGTGTCTCAGAAAGTTAGAATATTCCAGAACCAGCTTCTGGTGCAGTGGTTCTGGTCAGTGTGGGTCGGAGTCGAGTCCTGCTGGAAAATGAAACCAGCATCTCCATGAAGCTCGTCAGCAGCAGGAAGCATGGAGTCTCTAAAATGTCCTGCTAGACGCTGCGAGGACTGGACTTCAGAGAACCCAGTGCACCAGAACCAGCAGAGGACATGGAGCCAGACCATCCCTGACTGTGGAAACTTCTCTCTGGACTTGAACTACATGGATTCTGGACCTTGATTTATAAATGACATGAACATTTAGTTTCATCTGGAAAGAGGACATTGGACCACTGAGAGACAGTCCAGGTCTTTGTCTCCTTCTGATGGTGTCTCTGGTTCAGGAGTGGCTGGACTGGAGGAGTGACACGTTTGTAGCTCATGTCCAGGAGTTCATCAGCTGATCAGCGTGAGACACCAGGAGTTTAGAATATTCTAAACAATATTCTCATTTTCTGACACTGAATGTTGATTTTTCATTATTTGTAAACAATAATCATCAAAATGACAAGAAATAAATATTTCACTCTGTAATGAATCTAGAATACGAGTTTCATTTTCTGACATGAGTAACACAAATAATTGAACTTTTTCATTATATTTTAATTATTTTTGAGATGCGCTTGTGCACGTTCTGAAGCTTTGACTTCCACAACTGTCCGATGGGTCAGGCTATTAACTGGATTCATGGTCCCAATGTTCTGTGATGATGTAGTCCAAGCAAACAGCTTCCACTCTGAAGTCACTCATAACTCCTGCTGCACTCAAACTTTTCTTTCTGAGGGAAAATACTCACATTTACTTGATCTTGATGCAACATTTCTTTCAGTCCACCCTGATGCAGTTTGTCAAACCACTGAACGAACAAAACCATTAAATTGCATATCGCCCATGTAAGGAAATGACAGCGTTTTAGGCTGTTTGGTCAAACCTCAAAAATAATCTTATGAACAATCTCATTTGAGATGCACGATGTGTTGATCACAGTAAGTGTTGTTGGCTGCAACCAAACCAATTTTGAAAACTGTCACTGACTGAACTGAAGCCATTTCTGTTTCTTTTTAAGGTCATTTAGCTGTGGCACCCATCTTGACTCCAAAACCTAATCATAGTTTTAAGGTATATCCTATGATTATTTCCTTTTTAAGCTTCATACAAAT